GTGAGAGATAGCATTGAAATTGAAATGCCTGTGCCTTCCAGTGTGGGTTGGAAAGTTAGTATTAGCATCAGCTCTTGGTGAGGGGGAGGGATAATGTCAAATGTCAAGCCCCTGGGTATTGTGATTTGGTCCTGTGGCTTAGGGTTAGGGTTTGGGTTAGGAGTAGGTTTAGGTTTAGGTTTCCAATTCATGTACCTGACGTTTGGAGTGTGGGTATGATTGTTAGGGTTAGGGTTCTTCTTTTGGTAATGGTCATGCATAGTGCGGAAATAGCGGTACCTGAGGATGACTTAGCGTTCGGGCAGGATTAGGGCTATCGTTAGGGTTAGTGTCAGGGTGAGAGATAGCATTGAAATTGAAATGCCAGTGGTTCCGCTGTCTGCCTCGTAAGCGAAGGTTCCTGAGTTCGATCCCCGGTACCAAAAAAACCACATCATTACGGAGTCATCAGTTGAGAGAGGATGAAAAGCCACTTCTTCCAAAGCAAGATCCCAAGTGGATAAGTGAGTTTTTCGTGATCTTCAGAACTTCTTTCTTCTCCCTTAACTTTGTCATTTTAGTATTCCACCATTCCCTGTGAGGAGGTTATCAACTAACTCCCAGGTGTGTAGTTTTATCACTCAACAGTTGGGTAATTTGGTTCAAAGGAGTACCCTATTCACTCCATTACATTTTAAAGATGAGTTTGTTACTCTACGAAAGTTAAAATATTTTCCAAGATTATTCAAAAAGCAAGGAAAATACTACTGAATTCTACTGAGCCCCACTCAGGATCAGAATTCAGATCTGTAGGACCCTTAGACTCTTGACACTATCTATGCTGGTGTTTTCCATACATCTCACTGACCACCTAACAATTTTTGCCATACCTATGTACTGCATATATTGTTATTCTCATTATTTCTTTTTACTTATTTTTAAAAATCAAATATTCTAAGAAACAGTATCTTTGAAATGCAGCATTTGACAGATGCTTACAAACTTTATAGTTGCTAAAAAGTTTGTCTAAAAATGTTGGTCCGTGCAACATGTAAAATCGTCTGAGTCCATCACATCCTGAATGTGTTGTTTTCTTCTTTTAGGTGAATAATCCAACAAAGAATCCCCTTCCCCTTTGTGCCTTCTCCATAAGATATTATTTCACTTGACCTGTGTAGAACTTTCTTATTTTCAGTGATGTATGTAAAACACCTGGAGAGTCCTTATCTTTCAGGAGTTTACTCTCTTTGGAAAGTAACTATGCACATGAAGTAGTTAAGTCAGTGCTGTCCAGTAGGACTTTGAGTGACCAGGGAAATATGCTATATCTGTGGCTTATAAGATAACCATAAGCAGCAATTATCTACTGAGCAGTGACTCCATTGTGGCTAGTGCAACTAAGAAATGAATTTTAAATTTTATTTCATTTTAATTAAATTTAAGTAGCCACATATGGCTGATGGCTCCTGTATTGGAGGTCCAAATCTAGATATTTGAAATCAAATCTTTTCAAAGTTAATCAATATGGATTTAATACTGCCCTCTCTACTCAAAAACAAAAAAAAAACCACAGAGCCCACATGTTAATTACTATTTGAATTTCTTGATAGAGGGTAAAACATCATCTCCACCTTTCAGAAACTTCATAGTCCAAATAAAGTTACTCATTTTGAAACTCATAATTTAAAACACATTTACAGCTCAAGAATTTTTGCAAATATGCCTTCAATATTTTATTACTATTGAAGTATCCTATAAAGTTATAACTATAGAATACAAGCAAAAGTCTTAGCATTGTATTATTTTTTGTTTATTGTAAATAACCTTTCTTCTTGTCATCTCTATTTTTGTCTATGAGGACATTTAGACTATTTAAAAATTTAGCACAGCCAAAACTAATATTAAGGCCGGACGTGGTGGTGCATGCCTGTAATCACTGCACTCAGCAAGCTAAGGCAGGAGGATTGGTGTGAGACTGAACTACATAGTGAAACCCTGTCTCAAAAAAACAAACAAACAAAAAATACAGAAAAACTAATATTAATAACATTTTCAAGGTATCATTTCTTAACTTTGACTTTGAAGTTGGTGTGGTCATCTTATTCATTACTTGTTAGAATAGCAAGTAGACACTGGGTTCATAGTTAGCTTTATCAGCTTAAATTCTGTGGCAAATTATTTTCCTAGCACCCAAAGTCAAATACTAGTGTACTACCAGTAGTCATATCCTGTCTTGTTTTTCCTGTATGCAAAATTAGATTTATACAGTTAAGAGAAAGGCTTTTTAAAAAGGGAGTACCTTCATAAGAAATTTTGCCTAATTTTAAGATTAAAAATACTTGAGAGAAAACATAATTTGTGGTGTTTGTTTCCTAGTATAAAGAAAGCTATCCAGGACATTTTTATGACAGTTGGGGAAATATGGTATGGACTGTAGTGTTGGAAATTATTATTTTGTTAAATATTAAAATAGTATTGTAGTTATGTAGGAAAATGCCATTTGGAAATTGATGCTGAAGAATTTAGATCTGAAGTGTTATAGCTTTAAATTAGCTTTAAAAATGCACACATAAGAAAATACCGCAAAATATCAAGTTAATCTACATAGTGTGTATATGTATGTTTGTGGTTCTATGGTTTCTACTTCTCTGTATGTTGGAAATTTTTCGTAGTAAAAATTTAAAAAGAAAAAAGCCCCTGTTCCACATTAGGGTAATGAGATAACAAATGTAGAGCTCTTGGTTCAGTTTCTGTCACACGATAACTGCACAATAAATGTTCAGTATTATTTATAGCAATAAGTTTTGGGCTTTTAATAGTACTTATAGACAGATGTTTCCCATTATAAGCTAATTTCTAGTTGAGAGAGAAAGTTAGTGGCAGGCCAGGGATGTAGCTCAGCAGTACAGCACCTCCCTAGCAAGTGTGAGGCCTTGATTTCAATTCCTGGAACCAAACAAATAAATAAATTTAGTGGAAAACATCAATTTCTATAATGTTAGGCGGATAATTTATAAGGTCTATAAGGGCAAATTAAGCTCTACCAAGAGTTTTTTGTCTATGTTATTTCCTTAATATATCTGAAGTATGAAAAGCTACTAATATCCACATTACTATGAACTCATTTGTTACCTCATACATTAATTTCTGTATGAGTAGGTTTATTTGAATTTATCCACAGTTGATCTTTGAATTTTGTCAATGTTCCTGAGGGCTGCATTTAAAAATTGTCCTTGTGGGGCAAGTTTTTCTCAAGGAATAGTCTATCATTGAGATTTATTTTTCTGGTCAAGGACTCTGTATCAAAGGAATTGTAAAAGTAGTCCATGGTAAACTATCAAACATGCTCCAACAATTACAGAAATCTGTAGTCACTTAAAAGTAATAAAATAATATTCCAAGTCAGACTTTTAAAGCAAAAAAGACAATCTAAAAGTTATTTGATTAAAGTCATGCACAATATGTTAGTGGCAGATCTAGGAATAAATTGTTGTAATAAATTCTGCGGGCCTGAGGGGGTTGCTCGGTGGGAGAGAGCTTGCTTAGCAAATGTCCTGGGTTCAATCCCCAGCACTAGAGAGGTAAGAGAAAAGTCTGCCACATGGACATATATAGACTATAGAAGGAGCAATTTTATAAAGTGTGTTTTTGGCATTACTAATAGTCATAAATAGACTTCTTTAAAGAATTTAATTCGTCGTGATTCTTTTTATCTCATTGGAATTTGAAAGTACTTTTTGAGAGTGTTTTATTTTGACAGTGCATTTCTTTAACAAGTTATTGCAGGGCCCTCCTTGCCCAATCCAGAGCCATGGCAGAGGCTGGGGAAGAGGAGATGGCGTCAGTGGAAGCTTCAGGGTTCTCAGATATGAGTGACTCAGAGTTCCTAGAGTTTTTGGACCTGAAAGATTCCAAAGAGTCAAGTGCTTCACTTAGCAATCCTAGCCCTTCTTCTGAAGTCTCTGAGAAGGATGACAAGCCTATAAGCTTGCAAAACTGGAAAAGAGGATTGGATATCTTGTCACCTATGGAAAGATTTCACCTAAAATATTTATATGTCACTGACCTGTCTACTCAGAACTGGTGTGAATTGCAAATGGTATATGGGAAGGAACTTCCTGGGTTTTTGACACCTGAGAAGGCAGATATTTTGGACACTGGTTCCAGCATCCATCTAGCTAGAGAACTAGAACATCATGATCTTGTGACTATCCCCATCACCACTAAAGAAGATGCTTGGGCAATTAAGTTTCTGAATATACTGATAATGATTCCCACCCTGCAGTCAGAAGGGTGCATCAGAGAATTTCCAGTGTTTGGAGAAGTGGAAGGTGTGTTTCTTGTTGGTGTGATTGATGAGTTGCATTATACAGCCAAGGAAGAACTGGAACTGGCTGAACTTAAGACACGTAAGCGCCCTTTGCTCCCTCTGGATGCTCAGAAGAAGAAAGACTGTTTTCAAGTAAGCCTGTACAAATATATCTTTGATGCCATGGTGCAAGGGAAAGTGACCCCTGCTAGCCTAATCCGTCACACAAAATTGTGTCCAGACAAGCCACTGGGGCCTTCTGTGCTGAGGCACGCCCAGCAGAGAGGCTTCTCTGTGAAGTCGTTGGGTGACCTCATGGAACTGGTCTTCTTGTCTTTCACATTGTCTGACCTCCCAGTTATTGATATCTTAAAGATTGAATATATCCATCAAGAGACTGCCACTTTGTTGGGTACAGAGATTGTACTCTTTGAAGAGAAGGAGGTGAAAGGCAAAGTACAGCATTATATAGCCTATTGGATGGGCCACCGAGAGCCTCAAGGGGTGGATGTGGAAGAGGCTTGGAAGTGTAGGACATGCGACTATACAGACATCTGTGAGTGGAAGAAAGGTGGTGGAGTGCTCAGCTCCACACTGAAGCCTCAAGCCAAGAAAGCCAAATGAATAGAAGTTATGTTTTCAGAAATTTTTATCTTTCCTGCTCCTAAAGTACCTGACTAAAAGAGGACCAGTCTTTGAGCTTGGCTTTCCTGGATAGTGTTCCGGTTTTGTATTCTACATTGTCTAATCCATTCAAATCTAGGACTCAAAGTTCAGGGATGAATGGGAGAGATCTAGGGGTTACAATGTCCCTAGAGCTTTGACATGGGTTGTCAGGAAGATAAATGCCTATCATGGCTGGAGCAGAGGTATCCTATAGCAAATATTTTCCTGAGAAAATTGTGATTCTGATAAATCTTTATTTTTTTTCATAAGACTTTCTACATTTTATATAATAAAATGAAATGCTGTCCAGGACAGTTGAACTGATGTTTATTCATTTAGTTTTTTATGATTTAAGTCTTTCAAAGGTGACCACTATTGTTATGGTTTATTTCTAAAATATCCCCCAAACCTTCACGTGACACTCATAGATGGGGCTTTTGGGAGGTGACTGGACCATGGGTGTGTGATACTAGATTAGTCCACTGATGGGTTTATAGCTGGGTGTGATATTGGGAGGTATAGAACAAGAAATAATGAACAATAAACTTTCTAGCACTTTCTTAATAGCAAAAACCTAGAAAATATCCAGGTGCCCATTGTTAGACAAATGAATGGTATGGTACAGAAACCAAAACAAATGAAGTACAGTGACATGCAGCAATATGCCTGAATTTTAGCAACACATTAGATAAAGTCCCAAGATTTATATAGTATATACCCTTTTTATAAAAAATTGAAAAATAACTAAAAACTTTTAAGGATATTGAAAGATAGTGGAGAGAAATTTCAATACATCTTAGAAGGTGGTGGAGCCCTTAGCTACAAACATCAACAAGCCAGAGGAAAGAATGGTATGTAACTCTCACCTGTAAGGACTTATTTATGGAGACTTACTGGAGAATTTGGAGCAGTAGATGGATGGGGAGGGCACTGGTAGGGGCTAATAGCCAGCAGAACATGGTGAATATTTTTAGTGCAACCTCATGTAATACATGAGCTGTTAAAATCTGAATACCTAAGAGATAACATAGGTTCTCTCTGGAGGCCCTTATGACCTACATGTTTTGTTTTTGGAGGGGTTTTTTTGGTACCAGGGGTCAAACTCAGGACCTTGTACTTGTTAGGAAGGTGTTATTCTGCTAAGCTACATCCCTGGCCCACTACATTTACTCTTAATGGAGATTAAAGCTTGTAATAATTCTCATTTGCTGAATGGCTCATGTGCTAGGAACTGTTCTAAGCACTTTATATGATTAAGTCTATATTTCATTCTTCTAAGGTCCCACTGTTTCAAAGTGGTAGATTCTGGGCTGGATATGGCTGACTGTAGTGTTTATATTCTTAACTGTCATGCTATAGAGTTTCTATTGCAGTTGTTAGGCATCCTGGGTGGTATACAGATTTAGCATCCCTTGAATGCTGAGGCCAAAAAGTTTCATATTTCTGATTTTTTTCCAAATTTTGACATATTTGCATATACACTATGATATATCATCAAGATGGCACCAGAGTCTAAACATGAGATTTGTTTCATATACACCTTATATAATGGCCTGAAGATGATTTTATGTAATATTGTAGGTACATCCTCATTTTGACTGTGACTCATCACATGAGGTCAGATATGGAATTTTCCACTTGTGGTGTCATGCTAACATTTAAAGTTTCAGGTTTTGGATCAGGGATCCTCAACTTATAGTCCCAATTAAGTTTGGCATTAACTAAGGGCATAGCAAACTGGATTTTCTGGGGGCAAACAGTATTAAACTAGTAGTTTTGGGGGAAAGAATTTGCTTAGGTTCTGTAGCATTGTCTTAATTATAGTAGAAGCTTTAAGAAAAGGGTAAAGAAAATCACCTGATTATGGATACTGGCACTCAGAAATCAGTAATTTCCCAATATCAAATTCATGTTTTAGGTTAACAATTTGGTTATCCCTTTGTGGTTTCTCATAAGTTGAGACATCCATAGTTGGGATCACCCCAGGATCAGTGCCATGGTCTGAATGTGTCTCTCTAAAATTAGTATTTGAAACCAACTCCCCCACCATGGTGATGGTTTTGGGAGGTGGTTAGGTAATCAGAAAAGAGCCCTCATAAATGAGATTTGTGCTTTTATAACGGAGCACATGACTACAAGGGACTCACTTTAGATCCAGAGACACCAATAGACTGCCAGGTATGCTGCTGCATTCCTGTAATCCCAACACTTGGGAGGCTGAAGAAGGAGGACCAACATGAGTTCAAGGCCAGCCTGAATTACATAGCAAGACCCTGTCCCAAAACAAACACAAAAAACAAAGGCACAAATAGATGAAGTGAAGGGATGGAAAAATACATTACATAGAAATAACCAAAAGATGGCATACGTAGCTATATGACTATCAGACAATATATTCTTTTTTAAAAAAAGAAAATCATTTTTTGGTACATTTTAGATATACATAATGTCCCGGGGATTTAGCTCAGTGCTTTTGCCACCTGCCTCACAAGCATAAGGTCCTGAGTTCAATCCCCGGTACCAAAAAAAAATTTATCTGTAGGCATCTAGATATACATAATGAAAACATTCATCATAGGGAATTTGTACCTGTACATGATGTATCTTGATTCTTTTTTTCCCATCCCGCCTTGGTCCCTCTTCCCTTCGTTATTTACAAAAGCTTTGTTTACATTTTCTTCTTTTTCTCTTGTCCCTTCTTTCCTTTCCCTGCCCCCTCCCTTGTTCCCCTTCTCATTTGAACATTTTCTTCTCATACATGTCAGTCCTTGTTTCCACTTTCAGTTTCTCACCCCAGAGAAACAATGCAATATTTAAACGTGTATCCAATTTATTTCACTAAAGAGTATGGTCTCAAGGTACAACCATTTAGCTAGAAATGTCTCAAGATCAACCTTCTTTATGGCATAGTAGTAATCCATTGGATAAAAAAACACATTTTCTTTATCCATTCATCAGTTGATGGGCATTTGATTTAGCTATTACAAACTGTGCCGCTATAAACATGGGTGTACATATATTGCTGTGGTATGATGCTTTTAATTCTTTTGGGAGGATACCAAGAAGGGGAATAGCTGGGTAGAATGGAACCTCTACTTTTTGGGGTTTTTTGATTTTGGTTTTTTGAGATAGGGTCTTGCTATATAGCTGAGTATAGCCTTGAACTCACTATGTAGTCCAGATTGGCCTCAAACTCATGGCGATCCTCCTGCCTCAGCCTTCCAAGTGCTGGGATTACAGGCATGTGCCAGCACACCTGCCTACTACTTTTAGTCTCTGGAGGAATCTCCACACTGATTTCCACAGTGGTTGCCCCAGTCTACACTCCCATCAACAGTGGAGAAGGGTTCCTTTTTCCCCACAGCCTCACCAGCATTTGTTATTGATTTCTTGACAACCACCATTATTTCTGGAGTGAGACAGAACCTCAGTGTTGTTTTAATTTGTATCTCCCAACCAGTGCTGTTATATTTTTTTGTATACTTATATATTTATTTGCCATTTCTACTTTTTCATCTGAGAAATATTCATTTCAGAAGCCCTTTTTTGGATTGGGTCTTTTAAATTTGGTCTTTATATATTCTAGATAGCAGTTCTTTATCTGAGAAACAGCTGGCAAAATTTTTTTCCCATACTGTGGGTTGTCTCTTCACTCTGTTGGTGGTTTCTGTTGCTGTGCAAAAGCTTTTTAATAAGATGAGATCCCAGTTATTGATTCTTTGTGGTAGTTCTGTGTGATCAGGATTTTACTCATGAAGTCTTTGCCTACACCATTGTCTTCAAGAGTTCTACCTATTCTGTCTTCCAGTAGATTTAGTGTTTCTGTTTTTATATTTAGATCTTTGATCCATTTCAATTTTACTTTAGTGCATGGTGAAAGATACGGGTCTAGTTTTAATCTTTGCCATGTGGAGAGCCAGTTTTTACAGCACCATTTATATATTTATTTATTTATTTGGTACCAATGGTCAAACTCGGGTCCTTGCACTTGTGGGACAGGTGGCGGAACCACTGAGCTAAATCCCCGGCCCTTTACAGAGCCATTTATTAAAGAGGCTATATTTCTTCCAGGGAAGGTGTTTGGCTCCTTTGTCAAAGATAAAGTGGCTGAGTGTTTGGAGTTGTTTCTACATCTTCTGATCTGTACCATTGATCCTCGGGTTTGTTTGGGGGTTTTTTTGCCAGTACTATGCTGGGTTTTTTTTTGTTTTTTGTCATCGGGGATCGAACTCGGGACCTTGCACTTGCGAGGCAGGCGATGGAACCACTGAGCTAAATCCCCAGCCCTACTATGCTGTTTTAATCACAGCTTTGTAGTATAATTTCAAGTCAGGGATTTTGATACCCCCTCCCTTGCCTTTGCTGCCCAAAATTGCCTTTGCTATTCTAGGGTTCTTCTTGTTCCAAGTGAATTTTAGGATTGTTTTCTCTAATTCTGTAAGATACAGACAAAATATACTTTAAATCAGGAAAATTTATAAGAATAGAGAAGGATATTATTATAAAAAGTTGAATACAGCAAGAAAATATAATAAACGTAAATATTTACTCAATCACACCGTCAAAACATATGAAGCAAAAATTGACAGAATTCAGTGTACAAGTAAACATTTCTATAAAATTGCAGATTTTAGTATCCCCATTCTCAGTGGATAGGATCATTAGGGGGAAGGTTGCTAAAGAAATACTGTGGAAAATTCAAAAAACATAATAAGGGCTGGGGATTTAGCTCTGGCACCACGTCTGCCTCACAAGTGCAAGGTCCTGAGTTCCAGCCCTGGTACCAAAAACAAAACAAAACAACAACAACATAATAAATCAGTTAAATCCAACAAATGTACAGAACACTATCCAAGAAAAACAATGCCATTCTTCCCATGTACACCTGGGATATCTTCCACAATAGACCATATATTAGGCCACAAATTAAGTCTCATTAGATTTTTAAAGTTGTGTTAAATAAGGTATCTTCTTCAACCACAATGGGTTGCAGTTGAAATCGGTAACATAAGTGGAAGATTCACAAATCTGGCGAAATTGACAGTACTCTTAATCAAAGGGAAAAAAATCACAAAGGAAATTAGAAAATACTTGTAGATGGATGAAAAGACTCACCACTGCCAAACTTACACAGTGATAGCACATCAGGGAAATTTTAGAGCTATAAATACTTACATGAAAATGCCAGAAAAATCTCAAATCAACAACCTAACTGTACAATTTAATGAACAAACTAACCCCAAAGCCTGCAGAAGAAAGGAAACAAATATTAGAGCAATTATTTTTAAAAAAGGAAAACAAAGT